ATGGGATGGAACACAGATACCCAGGCAGGAAATCACAAGTGGGTTTGTCAGATTTGTCAGACACGGTTCAGTTGATGTAACTGATGGCAAAAGAGTATACAGAGAAAATGATGTAGAGGTGATGTCTGGGAGACTAGAAGAAGATTTGCATAGCCAAGAAAGGGCAACTTAGATGTTATTATTAAAGTTACTTCTTTTTGTGTTGGCTCTTTTTGTTTTGTTTTGTTTTTTTGTAATTGTTATTTTTGAGACAAGGTCTCAGGTAACCCAGGATGGCTCTGAACTCTAGCGTACCCAAGGATAACTTTGAATTACAGGCTGGGATTACATACATGGTTCACCATGCCTGTTTTTAGGCAATGTTGAAGATTAAACATAGGGAATTTTTGCCCATAGGCAAACATTCTTCAATGGAACTACATTCCCAACCCTGCTAAATGCTTTTGAGCAAGGAAGAGACAGGAAAAAAAGCCTTCGTTGTAGGAAGAGGGATAAGCAGCTGAACTTTCCAGAGGAACAGTATGTTCAGAATCACAAGATGAGCTCTCTGGCCCTAGTGCAGTTGCGCTGTCGTGCTCATGAAGTTCCTGAAGAAGAGTGAAAGGGAGAGGGAGAACACTAAGAACAGTTCCTGTTGATTTCAGAGCCGAAAGGCTGTTCATATCTCTTGGGCTCCACCACTCATTCTCAGGATCAGGGTAGAGACAGTTCAGTGGCTGAACCAGTTCCATCCTGGAGACCTGTGTCCCAGGAGTCTGAGTTCAGGATGTCCTCAGAGACATCTGCTGTTATTTTACTGAGAATGATGCTCCCAAGGGTGAACTAAATCCTCAGAACGAGGGCTAGTAGAAGCATGCGTAAAATCCCCTTTCATTTTCTCCCACAGCCTGTTTCCTAGGGTTCCTTTTGCTGATGAAGAGTCCACAGCTCTGCCTGTTCCCCTCCCCTCTGTGTCCCTTAATCCAACGATTGCCTCCCTGCCACCCCTGAGAGATATTGTTCTTATCCTCTCCACATTTTGATTCCATTTCTGTTTGTTTCAGTAACTTCCTATATTCCATGACAGGGTAGCAACTGCAGCTGTGCGCCAAGTCTGTTTTAGTAAATAAGCCTAGCTAGTTATCCATGTATGCTGTCTCTGGCTGCTTTCACAGCGCAGAATGGACCTGCAGCCCACAGTGTCTCATAGCCGAAATTATTTACTGTTTGACCCTTTACAGAAAACAAAAATCAACAAACCTAACTCCAGTTCTTTACCTGCAGTCTCTTGTTTTTTTGTTCCCTCTTTGCCTGAGGAGGCCTCAGGGAAAAAAGAATGCAGGGATTAGTTCTAAGGGAGTACTAGAGTAAGTAGGTGTACTTAATTTCACTGGGAGTTCCAAAGGAACTCCATCCCCTTCTCTGCCAACCTGTTCAAGAAATGGTGCCTCATATTTCTTAATTCACAAGAGAAAGTCTCATAATACATGGGATCATCATAGACGGTACTATGAACTGTAGAGTTCATAAGCATTATCTAATTTAATGCTCATGACCTGCAGGTGACCAAGCAGATTTGCAGGTGGTAATGTTGAAACACAGACTGGAAAGTGGCTCGTCCTTGATCCCACAGCTAGGGAGGATCATGGTCCTTGCCGCTTACCAGCTGCCGTCAGAGAAAGTTGCTGTTTCAGAGCACTACCCAATAATGGGTAAAAGGAGGATTGCGAACAAACGCAGGATGTAATGTTGGGGTAAAGGTAAGATTTACAGTTCTGAATGCAAGAAAGCTAAGAAGCTACACCTCCCTCAAGAAGAATAGCAAACAATAAACTATGACGGTACAGAAGGGTCCCCAGAGACCTCTCCCTGAAGTTCCTGCTGCAGTCCCGATGATTGGAGCTCCTTGGCTGTCTTCGCTACATTCTACCCCGGTGGGGCCTGTGAAACAAGAGCACAAGGTGCTTAACAAAATCAGAATTGTGGTGACACTGTGCTGATATCATTATCCTCTGTTCATGAGCCTTTGGTGATTACAAACAGGGCCATGCCAGAGCTGTGGGAAGCATATGTATGACGAAGGAAGACTTTTCTGTTTCGCCCACTGAATTTTGACTTTGTGGTACATTAGGGTGTGTTTAGGGTCATACTCTAGTGTGTGTGTGAGGCATGGAAAGCTTATTGAGCCCATACCTGATTTTCTTGTCCCATTAATTTCTTCATCAATGCGGAAAGGAGGGATCCAGAAGTAGTGTTGTGTGTGTGTGTGTGTGTGTTTCAGGTGGGGGAAGAGGAGAAAGGAAAGAAAAGATCGTGTGTCAAGGCACAGGAAGGACTTCAACTACAGATGGTTTAAGTCAAGTAAGGAATGCAGTATGTATTCAGAAAAATGCTTGGACTCACCAAATAGCAGAAATGGGAGCACACCAGAAAAGACTTTCTAGGTAACTACTGGAACCAGGGGCCACAGTCCACAAATGGTAGAAGGGCGTTGGGTGTGGGTAATCCTATGGAGAGGGACACAAAGCCAACAGTTAAGTGGAATGCCAGGACCCGTGAAAGGCAGTTTCAGATCTCTGAGCTACTTACCAGAACAGTGGCCAGTCTCACTTCTGCTTATCGGTTCTAGAGTCCATATCAAACTTGCAGCCGTGCGAAGATAAATAAACTTACTTGTTCTGTCCCATAGTGTTACTTCTTTAATCCACGTATATGTACCTTAGAGTTATTAAAATAGGGGTTGTCCTGCCAGGATTGATCCATGCGAAGATAATATACTCGTCTCTCAGGGTCTTTATGCTCTAGAAGTCTATTAAAATCCAAACATGAAGGATGACTTGGAAAAAATTATGGCCTGCAAGGAAATTTGCTGTCCAGCAGAGTTGACAGAGACATACACACTCAGCTCTACAAGGTAGACTCCAGGGAGAGCAGCAGACCAATCACAGGGAGGAGCAGGGCAGTAGCAGCAAGCTTGACTGCAGCCTGCGGATGGATGATGGCTTTCCTCGCCTGTTTCCTTTCTCCATTCTCTTCTTCCACCAGCATAAATGTGTGGCTCCAAAATTCTGCCTTCTCCTAGGAGTTGGCAATGGTGGATATCCTGGCTGTTCTGTTGCCTTTTCTTTTTGTTGTTTTGCTTTTATACTTTTTATTATGTTAACTAGTATGCCATATGAGATGTCACCTCTTAAATTGTAGGTGTAGAGTGATTTGTTTTGGCTATAAACACAATGTCATGTCACAGACATCTAGAACTTTTCCATTTTCGTGACTAAAATGCTGAATGCTGTGTTGATCAAAAGCATCTTCCTCAGGTCCCTGGCAAATGTTATTCTTTCTGTTTATTAATGTTTTACTAGCTGCCTTTCAGTGGAATCATATAGTACATGTGTTTATTTGATTTTTTTTTCATTTAGCATAGTGTCCTCACAGTTCATCCATGTCCACCATTAGAAAACTTTCTTCTATTTTTATGGCAGATTAATATGTTACCTCATGTATGTACCATGGGATGTGATTTTTGTTATTTGTTTTGTTTTGATCAGTTGCTACTGTGATGGACATTTAGGCTCCTCTACCTTTGGACTGTTGTGTACAGTTCTATAATGAAATTGGAAGGGTAAAGATCCTCTGAGAGCTTGTTTTAAAAATCTAGGAGCGGGACTGTTAGATTTTATGGTAGTTCTACTTTTAATTTTCTGGGAGATATGCATGCCGTTATCCTACCATCTTGTACTTCTGTAGCTAGTGCTGGAGAGAACCACACACCTATCTCTCCTCTTAGACTTCACCCCGATCTTCCTTCTCCAGCAAACAAAGCTGCTGCCTGCCTCTTCTTCAGCACACTGCTCCTTCTTTTGTGACTCTTGATGTTCTTAAAAATCCACATCAAGTCAAAATACCTCATGACCTCCTGTTGCCCAGCTAGATTTACTTGCTCTCTGCCTGAGTCTCTAAAGTCCTTGTCTCTGTTGTATGGGACAATTGATAGACATGTTGTTTTGGCCTGAGTTTTTACTTTAACTGAACTACCATCTCCTGATGTATCTTCTCTGAGAACTTTGCAAAATACCTTTTTCTCTCCATGAAGAAGCAGAAATCATAGAAAATGTATGTGTGTTACAGGTTTAGAAGTCAGTTGCTCTGGAAGCATAAAGAGGACCCTAGGGAGTAGCTCAAGTGTACAAGACACTGTTCATTCCTGTAGAGATAAATGAATGTGATGGGGCAGAGAGAAAAGATCAGTGGCATCACTGTTTTCAGCCTGCAGGGCTTGGAATAGGCAGGCAGGCTTAGAGGGTCGGATTGGACTACACTTGAACAGTGTGGGACGTTGGCAGGTAGGGTGAACAGGACATGCCAGGGGCAGGAAGTGGAGTTCACCTCATAGGAAGTCAGCAGCTGCTTGAAGCAGGGACCAGTCTAACTGGCAGTCTGAAAAACACTACTTCTGGCTCTCTATGCTGGAGAGCCCTTGGCTTCCAACCATAGTATGCCTTGCCAGCAGTGCTGTCTGAGTGGTTAGCTCTCAGCTAAGCTTAAAGTCTGTGCCTACCCTTGCCTACCAATGGCTGGAAAGGGAGAGGAGTGGGCTGCTTGGTACTTTTAATAGCTCCATCCTTTCTGCTTTTTCCTTACCTTCTCATACCCCTCCAGATCTGTCCTATCCCACTGCTCACCAAACCAGGTTGGACAGGTGTGTAGAATCAACCGCATACTAGAATTAAAGGAAGTTCTGAGGCTCTGCCCATGGACAGTGCTCTAGCTGGTGTGGATGAGGCTAGAGTCACACCTAGCACACACGAGAGCTGCTGAAGGATGGATGCAGGACTGACTAAGTAGCTGAAAAGTTATTTCCTTCTTTGTCCAACCTGATTTTTTTCGTAATTTCACAAAGATCATACATTTCTTTAGAAATTAGAAAAAGGATTGATGTTATTAGAAATAAAACCCAGATGCTATCCTGAAGTGATCTTGTAACAACCATTGATACTCCAAATGCATTCCTGTTTCTACAGGGGGACTTGACCTCATCTTCATGCCAGGCCTCGGGTTTGACAAAGATGGCAACCGGCTGGGGCGGGGCAAGGGCTACTATGACACCTACCTGAAGCGCTGTCTGCAGCACCAGAAAGTGAAGCCGTACACCTTGGCTTTGGCGTTCAAGGAACAGATCTGTCCCCAGGTCCCAGTGGATGAGCATGACATGAAGGTAGATGAAGTCCTTTATGAAGACGCCCCAGCCTCTTAAGTCATCCCGTGACAGCCACACTCACTGGTTTGTACCAGTGTGTAGAAAGTGTGTGTATTTTCTCCTTGTCAAAAATGAGTCAAAATGGCACATTAAAGTGAATATGGATTGTGTTTCTTGCGTGTAAATATAAAATATCTGGCTTAAAACCACCATTATAAGTCAGGAGACGTGTGAATACTAGAATATTAATTCAAATAGAGGCAAAAGCTGTATGGTTTTCAGCTTAGCTTCTTGGTGTTAAGATGGTAAGTTGACCTTTCTGCTTTGCAGTTTAAATTAAATATTTATGAGTATTAAAGAAACATAGAAATTGTGGGTAAAGGCTCTATTTCTTAATGTCCGGTCGTAGGCCTGATTCCTGTGGCATATGGAGACTCATCTGTTTTTAATTGGTTTGGCAGTACTTCATATATTATACCACCTAATCATGGCTTTAGTTACTCACCTTAAAGTTTTACGTATGACACTCCGTAGCTACGTCTGGTGGCTAGATGGGAGCCTTTTGTGGTTTACATACTTTGATTCAGATGATGGTCTCTGGCCTTTAGGACTTTAAGATCTGATATATGTTTGTAATAATTTCTGTTGATTCATGGGTTCTATTTGAAAATGGAAGCTGCCGTGGACTGGACATTGCCAGATGGCTTCACAGCCAGAGAGAGGTCATTTTGTTGCGGGGAAGATATGGTTATCACAAGACACTCAGGGATCTTCCTGGCCGTGACTGCTTGCCTGGGTCCCATTCACAGCCTGTCACCAGCTCCTGCTGGTATTGCTTCTGGGATGCCATCTACTTCTGTTCTCTCCTTCCTCTCATCTCGCTGCTATTTTCTTCACCCCTCAGCATTTCTCAGCCGAAGTAGGGAGCTTTACGATCAGCTTTTTGCCTCCAATTTATTTCAGAAATGATCTGATGAGACATCAATCTGATGTGGACTCTCCCTGCTGAAGTATTTTAGAGACTTTGTAGCAGGTAGATGCCGTCCACTGTGGAAGAAAGCTCTTGTAAGGGCCCCTCTGCCCTTCTTCTATCATCTTTCCCCTCCCTCCCTATATTATCTTTCTGTGCACGCTGTGAGCATCACAGGCTGTTCCTGCCCTCTGCCCTGTGCAAGCCTGTTTTCCTTCGTCTCAGTGCTATCTTCTTTTGTCCTGGGGACTGCTGTGCATCTTCAGGAGGTCTTCCTTCGCCCCACTCACCAGTTCTAGTTCCTCTTCCTTCCTTGCTGTGGCCATTGCCCTGTTTATCACTTTGGCCTGCATAGCAGTAGTTAGTATCCATATGTGTCTCCTTCATGAAGCTTTAAGTTGAAAAAAGCCTCTTGTGTTTAGTACATAACAGATGTAGAGTATTGATAACATTTTTAAAGAGTAAACAATGCATGTGCATTTGTTTCATTTAAAACACAGATCTACTGTTTTTATATAATAAATAGTTTATATAGTATATAGTTTGATATTATATGCATAAAAGTAAAACTACTTTAAACATGTCAATTTGGCTAACAGTGGATCTCTACAATTTAGTATATACAATGAGAAATGAGAAATAGATTCCTACAAGCTATGATGACATTATTATACTGATTAATCTTCTTCTGTGTAAATGTTAATATAGCTGACATGACTGTGAAATAGTGAGCTACTGTAGGTCTGGAAACTTTGCTTTCTTAACCTGTGTTATTCTTGTACCAAAAGAGCCAGGTGTAGTTAGAGAAATAACTGGCCAGAAATTGCTGGGTACCCAAGATTCAGAGAAGTAAAAAAGCACAGGATCGCTTCCTGTAATGATTAATCTTGTCAACTTGTCAGGATTTAGAATTACCGTGGAAACACATCTCTGAGTGTGTTTATGAGGGTGTTTCCAGAAAGGTTTAACTAAACAGTAAAGATTTACCCAAAATGTGGTGTCTCTCTCTCTCTCTCTCTCTCTCTCTCTCTCTCTCTCTCTCTCTCATGAGGTGGGATCCTGGACTGATTGACAAGGAGAAAATGAGCTGAGCACTAATGTTTATTGCTCTCTGCCTCCTGACTGTGGGTGCCTCATGCTTCAGATGCCATGATGGGTTATATTGCTAAAATAAAGACCTCCCTAAGTTGCTTCTTATCAAGTATTTTGGTGATAGCAAGCATAGTAAGTAATATACCCCCATAAAACAACAGTAATTCCTGTGTGACCAACTGTGCACTGTGGTATCCCTGCTGAAGGTATTGGAAGGAAAAAGCCCCCACCCCTGATGATATAGCCATGATTAGGGCATCTCTGACCCAGGGAGTGAGCACTACAGTGCAGGGCTTCATGTGTTATGATTTGAATCTGAAATGCCCTCACAGGTCCATGTTTTGCACAGTTGTCCCTAGTGATGGCACTGTTTTTCAGGAAGTGCAACTTTTGGTGGTAGATCCTATCTGGCAGACATAGGCCATTGGAAATAGATCTGCTCCTGGTTCTCTGACTTTCTGCTTCCTGATCTGCTATGATGAAGTCCCCACTGCTGTGAGTGACACTTCTCTAGCATGCCTTCCCTGCCATCATGAACTGAAAACCTCTAAAACTGAGCCTGGCAAAACCATTTGTCTCTTGATTTGTTTTTGACAGATGTCTGTCACAGCAATGCAAAAGCAATGAGTACACACTGTAAGAAGGAAAAAAGTCTCAGAAGGGACTATCTAGGTAGAGGAGAGCCAGCAACCAGATAATAACTGAAACCTTTAACCAGGGAGGAACAGGAGACAGATCTACTCCCAGTGGCCTACTTCTGCCCAGCTAGGCTCCACCTCCTAAAGTTCCACTTAATCCCGAAGATTTGCAACACCAGAACCACAAATGGGTTTGTAGTGGATATTTTATAGAACTGTGCTTTATTGAGCTAAAGCTAAACTATATGAAGTTCTAGTCTATCAGTGGTTAAGAATAATTCACACTTAATCCTAATGTCCTCCAATATAAAGGACTGATTGAAGATATTGAGACAGTTCCTGGCCCCAAATATTAAGATATTTGAGTAGATATGGGGGGGGGGGATATGTGTTTCTTGTAGAGATTTCTGGAGTTCAGTTGCTCACGGAGTATTTGTGAGGGTATATGTTTATTTCTTCCACAAATCTGTAGCTCTTCAAAGTGCATTCTCTGACAAATTCATAATCATTTTGAGACCCAGTAGAGACCCCAACACAAAATAAGCATTAAGTAATTCCTGATGAGGGACTGAACCCAGGTCAGTGCTGTCCTGCTTCTGCTGTGCATGTGCTAGAGTCTGTGGTAGTTGCTAGTCACTGTTGAGATTCTGCTCCTTCAGCATTGCCACAGGACTGGATTATTCCAAAGCAAGTGTTCTAGTAATCCAGGGGCACTGTTTGGCCAGCATGTATCTGCAAGTTGCATTGTCTGTGTTTCTTTTCCTTGTTGGCAATTTCCTTCTTTGCATATTTTTTTGGCCATCTTCCTATGCCTGGAAGTTTTAAACCTTCTGCCCTATAACAGTGATTGTCATTCCCATCGGTATCTATCCACATAAATTCTTCTTTTGATGCTTAAATATTCTTCTAAATAATAAAAATGCACACCATAAAACATGCATTGATGTGGGAGTGATTTCTTATTAATAAAGAAACTGCCTAGGCCCATTTGATAGGCCAACCCTTAGGTAGGCGGAGAAAACAGAACAGAATGCTGGGAGAAAGAAGCTGAATCAGGGAGACGCCATGATTCTCCCACTCCAGACAGACGCAGGTTAAGATCTTCCCTGGTAAGCCACCTCGTGGGCTACACAAATTATTAGAAATGGGTTAGATCAATAAATATGTAAGAGCTAGCCAATAAGAGGCTGGAACTAATGGGCCAGGCAGTGTTTAAAAGAATACAGTTTCCATGTAATTATTTCGGGTATAAAGCTAGCTGGGTGGCGGGAAGCAGCCCACCGCTCCCTATTACAACAATGCATACAAAAAGGTATGGTTATACTGAAAAATTATAAAGTATAAAATTTGTTGTATGTTTTTAAAGGAGATACTGATATGGTAAAATTGTGTTTTTAATTCATTTTCACTATATCTTTTTAAAAATAGTATTTTATTAATTCTATGAGAATTTCATACAATGAATATATTTTGATAATATTTATTCCCCTCACCCCTCTCAGATCCACCCTACCTCCCTAACCACACAATTTCACCTTCTCTCTCTTTTATTTAAAACAAATCGATTCCAGTTTGTGTTGTTCAGTTACTCCTGGGTGTGGGGCCTGCCCTGTAGTGTGGTCTGCCTACCGAGAGTAACACCAAGAATGAAAACTGACTTTCTCTCTGTCAGCAGCTATTAAAGGTCAGCAACTACTCAGCTATGAGTGAGACCTAATGGCAATCTCCCTGCCCCCATGCTGCAATTTTGTCTGGCTTGAGCTTGCTCAAGATTTGTGTGTGATGTCACAATCACTTTGAGTTTACATGTGCAACTTCCCTGTTGAACTCATCTACCACTTCTGGTTCTTGCAGTTCTCTGTCCCCTCTGCCTCCAAGATTCCTGAGCCTTAGGGAGGGGGTACCATAAACACATCATTTAAGTTGAGCACTCAGCAGTCTCGTGTTCTTTGTACACTGGCCAGTTATGAGTCTGTGTTAGTGTCCATCTGTTTCAAGAAGTTGCTTATCTAATGAGGGCCTGTGGAGTGATATATGAATATAGCAATAAGTCTTTAGGAGTTACTTTAATACAGTGTCCATTTAGTGGAATAATAGTTCTAGGTTCTCCCCTAGGACCTATGATCTATCGAGTCACAGGTTCTTGGCCTTGAGAATGAATAACAGTGCCAGGTATGGGTTTTTTTCTCATAGGGTAGTTCTTACATATCTTATTCTAAGAGATTCCCCCCCCCCCCCCACACTTTGGTTTGGGTTTTTTGATGTTGTTTTAGTTCTTTGAATATTTCACACAATGTATTTTATCAAAATCGCCCCAACTCCTTTTCCTAACTCCTCCCAGATCTACCCTCATCTTTCTACCCACACCCAAATACATGCCCTCTACTTATTTATTTGTTTATTTATTCATTTGTTAATTCATTTAAAAATAGCCCATGAATCCTATTTGTGCTGCCCATATACTCCTAGG